AAATATATTATAACTATTGTATAATTCATATATATAATTTTTAAAAGTATAAATTTACAAATAAAAAAAATAACTATGTAAAATGACAAAACTTATAAATCACCCACGTATATGTGGTAAATTAATAGAAATCAAGCAAATTTTTTATAATATTAAGCGAGAATAACTTAACAAAAACTTGACCAAATTTAATAAAAAAATTTTAAATAATTTTTAAAAATTTGTAGAATTAATTTTAAAAAATTTTATTAAATTTGATTAAGTTTTTATTAAGTTATTCTTGTTTAAAGGTTAAAAAAAAACTTATCAAAAAATATTTGCTTGATTTCTATTGACTTAACCCTACAAATTTAATTCACATTACATTACATAATTAATAATAATATTTCATAGTAGTATAAATACTGTATAATTCAAATTCACAAATATAAATATATATGTTGTACCCGGATTTGAAATCCGCCCAATTCGGAATCAGTCCATCCTGATTCAAAATCGGGTGGCCAAATTTGGAATCTGTAAATGGGTTACCCCAATTGGGGATTACGATGTTTAGTACTCCGTGTTCATAGTACATCCAATAAAAATCGTATCATACGTATCGTATGTAATTGATATCAAGCCGGGAGTTAAAATTTATTATCAGGTCAGGAATTAAATTTATTTGTTTCAGTCATTAATATCTGATGCATAAAATGATGTAATTGTTTAAAAGTTAATTAAAAATATGTTAATAAAAAGCGAAATTCAAAACAAAACAATTTCAAGGATACTTAACTGATTACAGACTTTAAAATATTAAACCGTGTTGCAAGAAAATAAAAAAGCTTTTATCATGGATGTAGATAGTGATTTTTCTTTTCTTTCCTGTATGGTTTTCAATCAACTTTTATCTGAATTTATTGCAAATCGCAAACCTGTGCAATGAAGAAAAGCAATAATTACGCAAGATGATTATGACCTAATCATTCAAATTTTAACGAACCCTAAAGATTCATCTATTGGAACTGCGAAAGATAACTTTTGAGCGAAAAATAATTTTCACTTGCGTGATCTTGAAACACCACAAAACCCAATTCTTCAGATTGTGGAAAGAAATAAATTGAATAAATCAGATCATGTAATCTGCCTATTTCAAAATCTTTATCATGTTATTGAAAAAATTCATGGCAGTACGAACCAGCATTCTGGTTCAAAAAAAACATATAATGCTATAAGTAATCAATACGCCTATGTCCCTAGATCATTTGTCGAACTGTATGTCTCTCGATATACACAATGTTGTACATGAAGGTAAATTATTAAGTTAATCACTTTTAAAGGTGTAAATGTTGTAAATATAAAATGTTGTAAATATAAAATTATTACTTATCATTAAAATTTAATTTATTGCCTTATTTTTTTGTTTAATTCATTTTACTTTATTTAACTATTCTATATTGTTTCTCATTATAACAATTCAAGAAATTTTCCTGTGCCCGTTATTGGAAAAACTATTATTTCAAAGGACTTCTTACACTGCATACAAGTTGATCTTGTTTCTTTGAAAGATACCCAGATAAGGAATATCAGTACATTGCGCACCTTCACGATCATTTCACAAGGTTTTTCTGGACCTGCCCATTACGTACTAAAGAGGTATTGGAAGTTGCTGCATTTTTATTTTCAATTTTTACCATCTTTGGGCCTCCTTATATTTTGCAAAGCGACAATAGTAGAGAGTTTACAGCAAAAGTAATTTTTGAACTTCTTAGCTTATGGAAGGAGATCCATATAATTAACGGGCACCCCTGCTATCCACAGTTACAAGGGTTAGTGGAAAATTCTAATAAGACTCTAAAAAATGCACTTTCAACGTGGATGGAAGATAATGAATGGAGAGACTGGAGCATTGGTCTTCCTATAGTTACATACGCTATGAATATCCGTTGTTCCAGGCCTACTAGCCATACACCATATGAACTAGTTTTTGGACAACATCTGTTGCATCGGTTTAATATAATTGAAGAATTAAAACAACATAATATTAATATGGAGGAGGACTTGCTCCAAGATATGGTTAGAAGTGAAGAAGATTTGGAGGACACGGATAATAATGATGGCTTGCATTATGATAACAGCTTGTATAATAATAATAGTGATTTCAATAATATAGATAATGATGAACAGAGGTTGATTTTTAACACTCTGTATATTTGGAAAGAAATAATTCATATATGGGAGAATTGGGTTAGTTTTAATTTTTTATTTGTTTTAGTCATTTACTTATTTATAAATTTAACTCAATTAAATGCACTTTTTTATTTAAGAAAATGAATTCTCCGATTTTGAAATTGAAGAACAGAATCTTCATGAAAGTGCTGATGATTATACAATTTTAATGCAACAACCTATCCATAATAAAAATGCTGATGATTATATGATTTTAATGCAACAAACTATTTGTAATGATCAACAAATGCAGCAACATACTCAAGATGACAATATTATTTCAGATAATTGGGAACAACATATAGAAGACAAGGTTGTAATAATATAATTATATAATTCTAATTAGTAATGAGACTGCTCTTTTGATTTAATTGAATCAATGATCTATTTAATTTTTTGAGTTCCATAAGCCTGCAAATAGAACACGGATTATCATTTTATGTTCGTTGTATCTTATGGAGCTAATTTATTGATAAAAGGAAAAATAAATAAATTTATTAAATGAGTCACACAAAAATGACAAGGTCGAAATAATTACCATATTGTAATCACAGGACTCAAAAATATTATATAGATTATTATTTAACTAAATCAAAAAGAATGATAACTTAAATAATATACAGCGTAGTATCTTTCTCTATTTCATTAATATTTAAAAAAATTTAGAATTATTAAGCAATGATCGAATTATCTAACTAATTACAGTAATTATTTTATTATTATTATTAACAAAAGCTCGAAAGTCCCATCACTAATTCTACTGTATTTAATTATTTTAAAGTTTATTAACTATAGCTTAACGATCTTATATATATATAATTAGGAAAATCAAGAAACAACTAATTCGGATTTTGTTTCTTACAAAAAATATCAGTTTTTTGCTTTTCAAGAAGCATCTAATAGTTCAACTCATCATGATATTTACTGTCAAGTTGCAAACAGAAATCTTGAAGATTATCGTTCCAAGATGGAATGCCAAATGCATACAAAGTATAACATTCAAGAACGTAATTATCAAGTTGGTGATTTGGTAAAAATACAAATTGCAAAGATTAACTGTGGACCTGGTGATCATTGCGCACTTCCTTGTAAAGTGTTTTTAGTACTACCCAATAATATATATCGTCTTGTATGCCGATTTGGTGTTCTTGAAAGAGCATTTTCAGCTAGTGAAGTCTTGCCACTTGGGCCAAGAGAATTTTCTAAACTGGACAATCCCCCAACCTATAAAAATGTCAGTATTATTGAGGCAGCAAGATTGCAAACTAATACCTTTGTTAGTAATAAAGATTGCAACTGCAGAGGTAATTGCCTTACGGCAAAATGCTTTTGTAAAAAAGCAAACATTTTATGTGGAAGTGGATATCATTCAAAGAATTCCAAATGTAAAAATAGAGCTTGAAAACTGGGTAGATTGTATTTAGAAAATGCTTTAGCATTACATGTTTTTTAGCATATTTTGCATTTATGTTATGAAAAAAATATAAAAAGAAATTAAATAAGGCTGCTGGCTTTCTGTAACGCTTAAAATAAATTATATGATATATAAAATTAGTTTTTTTAGGATTCTGCGTAATTGAAAATTCAGGTTTTTATAAATTCATGTCTCATATTTAATTAAGTGATCTATTATTATTATTATTTTATTAATTTATTAGGTTGAAAGCAGTGAAATTTTAGGTTTGCAAAAATATTGTTGCTGGCCCACTCACTCTGAATAAAAAATATTAATATCGTTTTGACCCATGTATCAATAAGATATTAAGTAATCATTAATTAAAAACTAGTAATTCTTGAATGCCAGGTTGATAGCACATTAACCAGCCACAATGATCTCTTCTATTTCTAAAATTTCTTTTTCTATAAAACGTGTTTCATAAACCATTCTGTATTTTGAATGTTTTCTATTTTTCATTATGAATTGAAGACATAACAGAAATAAAATTTTTAAAATTTTTAGATCATTCATTATGAAAAAGTACTATTATAAAGGGAGTTGACCATACTTAATATGTAGTAGAGTAGATTACAGTAATTTCAGAAGTATGTAAGGATAACAAAGCTATAAAATTTAATTATAAAAGTAAACATCCTTAACATTAAGAAATGATTCAGCATAGATTATAGTAAGTGTTTATTTGAGATTTTTTGAATTCAAAGCAATAATATTAGAGGCTAAAGATTATGAAAAAAAAATGAAGAAAAATATACTTTTTAGAAAATAACAAAAACATGATTCGAGTAGAATAATGTTAAAAAATAGTGTTTTCTTTCTATTAAAATTTATACAGTAGTCTTACTATTGTTATCATTGGATTTTTTATTTGGCTCAAATTATTTGAACTGATTAATGTGCCACTAACTTGGTACACATTCAAGAATTGCCAAATCTTCTATCTTTTATTTTTGCATTGTTTTGCAATTGCTAAGACAAATTGTTTAATTTTTTCGACTTAAATATAATCTTTAGATTTAAAAAAATAAATCTTAACATTAAAGACTACACATCTAACTAAAAAAATCAGTTTGTAACTTATACCAGTAATACGTAGCAAACAATCCATCAGTGTAATACTCAAATCGAAGTGGATGATATTAAATCATGTGGTACCATGCAGTTGAATGATTTTCAATCGGGGTAACCTGTTTACAGATTCCAAATTCGACCACCCTGATTTTGAATCAGGATAGACTGATTCCGAATTGGGCAGATTCCAAATCCGGGTACAACACATATATATCTACTTCATAAATACTACCCACTTGTTAACTATTTCACACCTCCTTTTCAAGACCTTTTATAGTAGTTTAGATATGTTCTTTTTAAAATATATAGTTATAACCCACAACAGGATACTCCAATCCATATAACCTATATTTAACTATTGCTACTTATAATGTTAAAGGCTTCAATATTGTCTCTAAAAGACAAATCTGGCAAGATTATGGCATCAACCATAATATTGACATTGCTTGCATTACTGAGACTAAAATTTCTAACAAAACTAAACTCTCTTTTTATAACAATAACCTTTATACATATTACTGGGCAAATTTAGATAGTTCTATAGAGTAAGCTGCTATTATAATCTGTAACTTCCTCAAGCCTCATATATACAGCTGTATTACACATCTAGATAGTGCTGTTGCACTGAATGTTTTCTTTAAAAGCAATATTAAACTTTATATTATCTTTGTATATCTTTTTTCTACAGACTCTAGCAGACCTAGCAGACACAATTATATACAAAATACTGTTATTAACTCGATATTGCAAGCCCAACAACTTAACTTACAGCCTACTATCTTAGAAGACTTCAATTTACAAGATACTATATTCAGATCCTCACCAAATATAAACTCATTAATTTTTTATATCACTCCAATATGTTTGATATTGGTGCACATCTTAATAATATACAATCTACTTGATCTAATAATATCAAGTTTAGTAGAATTAACTATATTTGAACCAACACCTTTAAT